AGAAGGGAATGGAATTAATATGAGAAAGTGGAAAAATAGGAACAAAATCTTTGTAAATAGGGAGGACTGGAGGGGTTGAAGGGAGGGCTGGGCAAGGGTGAAAAACACAAATTGTTTTAAAGTGGCTGGCTTTGATTCTGTGAAGGGAAAAGCGGCGTCTTCCCAGCCACCTCTGACTGTCCCTGGTTATCTCTTGGAGCCGCCCAGACGGTGATTGAGCAGCAGACAGAGGACCCGCCAGGGGTGGCTTTCTCAGACCCCGGAGGGGCAGGCGGGCCGCTGCAGGTCACAGGCACCCAGGAAGCACGCAAGGAGGACCGCATGGCGTTGCTGTTCAGGCTGAGACCACAAACAAAACAACTCTTAGAATATAAGTCAATAATTGATGCAAATGAAGAAAAAACTCCAGAACAAATCATACAAGAAAAACAAATTGAAGCTAAAGTTGAAGACCTGCAAAATAAAATTGAAGAGGTAAAAATTGCCTTGGAAATTAAAAGTCTTGCATTGAGCAAGATACAACTTTCAGCTGAACTTAAAAACGACCTGGAAAAAATTAATACTGGGAACAGTGTGCTCATGGATACCATGAAAGAAGTATTAATGCTAAATAAATCAGTAATGAAATTACAGCAGGAATCTTGGAAATTAGAAGAAAACCTACTTGATATTAGAAAGAAGGGATTTCAATTAAAACAAGCTTCAGAAAGTAAGCTTTTAGAAATACAAACTGAGAAGAACAAACAGAAAGAGGAGTTGGCCAGTATGGAAAATTCAGACAAGATAAAGACCATGAAACAAAGCCTACAGAGGGAGATACAGATTGCTACAGTTATTCAACATGTGTTCCAGAACCTCATTTTGGGGAGTAAAGTCAACTGGGCAGTGGATCCAGCCCTCAGAGAAACTCTTCTGGAGCTTGAAAAGGATCTCACCATGATCTAATAAGAATTCTGTTTTGGGCCAGGTGTGGTGGAACACACCTGTGATCCTAGCACTTGGGAGGCTGAGGCAGGAGGATCACTGCAAGTTCAAGGCCAGCAGAGAACTGTATTTTGCATTTTTGGGTTTTTGTCTTTGATATGTCATTTAAGTAGCAAGTTTCAGGTGAAATGAATTTCCACTGTTTTTGGAACTATCCTAATGCTATAATTCTTTTTTTAGCTTGAGTTAACACTATAGCATAGAATTGCTCATTTTAATAACAGTAAAGTGACTAAAAAAAAGGGAGAAAATCTTAGTCATAGAAAAAAGCTATCTGGTCCAAACTGTGATGAATATGGACTGTTTTTGGATATTCCTGGCAGTCCCGGCTTTTATTTGTAATACTTATGTGTATTTATGCATTTGTCAATCAAAATACAGAGAAGCATCCAAACTGTTAAATTGTGATGATCATAAAAAAGTTGTTTAAAAATGTTTGTTAATATTTGTATGGTCATTGCAGATATGTTGAATTATATTGTGTTGAGTTCATATTGGAATAATATGAACCACTAGTCCAAAATGACTGGTGTGGTGTCCTCATAGAAACAGGAATGTAGGCATAGACAAAAAAGGGGAATGCAACATAAAGTTGAAAGCAGTCTGGTTTTATGATTATACCAGCCATGGAACATTAACATTGCCAGAAAACCATGAGAAGCTGAAGTTGAAAGACAAGACACCCCTTTTCCTCTTCTCCTCAAAAATAGTCAGTCCTGCAACATCTTGATTTCATAGGTCTAGCCTCCATAATCTTTGAACAATGAACTTCTGTTGGTTAAACATCTCTGAGGCACTTTGTTATAGCAGCCACAGAAAACTGAAATTTGTATTCAGGTATGATCTGAAATGACATCCTCAAATTTATCTCCATTTCCATGGATACCTGAATTCCAATCTTGTATATTCAGTTATTTGCTTGGACTTCTAGTTAGCATTTTATATCAATCTCTTAATTCTTCCAGTCCCATTTGGACCTTACACTTCTTAGTAAGTGATATCTTTATATCTTAGTCAATGTTTCTTTCTTGCCAAGGTAAAGCCTTGTCACCACACTTTCTCTAGGTGATCAAATACAAAGTGTCACCATTTCAGCTGATGGAAACTAAAATCTATTCTCATCTCAGCTATTTCTCTCAGGAGTTCCACTGTTATCACCTCTACCACTGCAAGTCACCACCATTCAAGTCCATGTGCCAGTTCTTTCTCCTGGACGACTATAAAACCAAACAAATGAAATATGTATCCACTCTTTTTCCCTTGTGTTAATCTGCTTTCTGTAACTGTACCAAAATATTGAGAAAATCAACTCAGAAGAGGAAAAGTTTACTTTGACTCATAGTTTTGGAGGTTTTATTCCATAATTTCTTGGCTCTGTTGCTTTGGGCCTGTGAAAAGGCAGCATGTCATAGCAGAAGTGTTTTGTAGAGCAAAGTTACTCTCCAAGCAATGGAGTCAGTACTTAACAAAAGATTGCAATGCTCTGAATCCAATTTAATGCAGGACACAGAAATTTACAAATTGGCCTAAAATGACCGCTCACAGAGTCAAATATAGAAGAGTGCAAAAGATCTCTCCACACCCCAGAGATCCAAAGGATCCAGACGAAGGACTATAACCCACCCACAGCAATGTCCTGTATGAGTCCTCATTAGGAGGCTGAAGGATCTGCTTTGCAAGACTGAGGGATCTGCACTGTGAGGTGGAAGGGTCAATGCCACTCAAGCTGACAACCCATAAATTAACCACTACAGATACAAAAGAAAAAGAAAGGCACAGCATCCCAATAACACCTTGAAGGGCACACTCAAAAAGACCAGAGGATCTCCCACTAATCCCCACCTGCGAATAGCTCCAAGTATGAGACTATGCCTTTAGCATGTGGGTTTTGATGGACATTGAAGATTCAAACCAGACATTTCATGATTAATTTTTCACATAGCAGTTGGAATTATCTTTTATAAATTTATTGGTTCTTTTCCTTTCTCTGTACAAATCAAACCATACTTTCTTAGTAATTTCTACAGCCTAATTTATAATATTCAAAAGGAAAGGTTTTCAACAGTCAGCAATTTTAATCCCATTTCCTCCCCTACTCCCTAGGAGCATTTCACAGTGTCTGCAAGCATATTGATTGTCTCTTCTAAAAAAAAAAGATGCTAGTAGAGATCCTGCAGATAGAGATCTGGGATGCAGATGGCCCTTGTATAAAGCACAGAAAACTCCAAATGCCAACAGCACAATAGAAATAGAATAGGCCATTCCACTGTTGCCAGCCCAGAGGAAGGGGCTTCTGGGCTGCCATTCTATCACTCCCAGCCCAGAGGTAGGGGCTGCCAGGCCGCTGTTCCACAGCTCCCATCTAAGGAGAGGTGAGCCACTTGGGCACCAGGCGCCCACTTCATCGAAAAGAGAAGACACTTAAACAAGTCTCAGAACCAAAATTCCAGATCACTTACAGCAACCCCAATGGGAAATGAGATGGAACACTCTGATACTCAACCATCTGGACTCCCTGAACTGGCAAAAAAAGAGGATCTGGACAAAATGAAATCAGAAACAATTTCTCAGATAACAGCAGAGATTGTGCTCCTAGTGCAAGACATGATTAATAAATCTAGAGAGGAGCTCAGGAACATGATGGAATCCCAACAAGGCAAACAAATGGAATGCATAAAACAGATCCAAACCGATTTCCAGGAGATTAAAAACTCCATTAAAGCCTATACAGCAGAATGAGCCAATGTGAGGACAGAATTTCAAATATAGAAGACAAGATTTCAATTAGTGATCAGGAAAAGAAAAACTGCTTCAAACTTGTAAGGGATCACAAGAAATCGATCCCTCAGCTGCTAGACAATGCAAAGAAGAATAATATAAGACTGATTGGAGTTGATGAAGAAACAGGAGTGCAGAAGACATAAAAAAACTGTTCACAGAAGTAATGGTAGAAAACTTCCCAAGCAGGGGAAAAGAGCTTGACATACAGATAAGTGAGGCCTTTAGGACTCCAAATAGCCTTGATCAAAAAAAAAATCTACAAATAGGCATATAATTGCCAAGATTCCAGAAACCCAACAGAAGAATAAAGTTCTACAAGCAGTTAGAGAAAAGAAACAAATCACATACAAAGGAAAGCCCATCAGAATCACAGCAGACTTCTCAACACAAACCCTCAAGGCAAGGAGAGCTTGGAGTGATGTATTCCAAGTCCTAAAGGAAAAGAGCCCCCAACCCAATTGATGTACCCTGCAAAACCGTCTTTCAAAATTGATGGAAAAATAAGATACTTTGATGAAAAAGAGCACCTTAGGAACTTCATGAATAACAAACCAGCACTCCAAAAATTTTTAGACAGTATCCTAGGAACAGACAATGAGAATCACAACTCCAGGAAGCACAGCAGAATGAATGCATCGGGTGCAACAAGAAATTAAATGTAAAGGGGGAGAATCCAACAAAAAGAAAAAATCATGACAATGATAAGTTAATGTGCATCACTTATAAGCATCAATGTTAATGGACTCAATTCACCAATCAAAAGAAAGAGACTGGCAGAATGGGTCAAGAAGCAAAATCCAACAATACGTTGCATATGAGAAACACACTTAATTCAAAATGAAACTCATAGACTGAAAGTAAAAGGGTGGAAAACAATACTCCATGCAATGGGAACCTGAAAAAAAGCAGGAGTACCTATCCTCTTTGCAGACCAATTAGATTTCAAACCAACATGGATTAAGAGAAACATAGAAGGACACTACATCCTTATAAAGGGAACAATCCAAGATGAAGAGATGACAAACATAAAATATATATGCACCAAACACTAATGCACCCAGCTATATAAAACAAATACATACCAATGGACATGTAATGTCATATATGCAGTAATACAATTGTAGTGGGGGACCACAATACCCCACTGTCACAAATAGATAGATCAACTAGACTAAAAATAAGTAATGAAATAGTAGAACTCAATTGAACTCTTCAACAAATGAATTTAACAGATGTTTACAGAGTATTCCACCCTGCAAAATGAGAATACACATTTTTTTCAGTTGCACATAGGTCATAATCCAAAATAGACCACATACTCACTCATAGAACATGATTAAGTAAGTGCAAAAAAATTGAAGTTATCCCCTGCATATAATCAGGCCATAGTGTGATGAAATTGGAGATCCATAGCAAAACAAACCACAAAAATTTCATAAACACATGCAAATTGAACAACGCACTTCTGAATAACCAATGGGTCATAGAGGAAATAAAAGAAGAAATCAGACAGTTCCTTCAGTTAAATGACAATGACAATACAACATATCAGAATCTATGGGAAATAATGAAAGCAGTCTAATGAGGTAAATTCATAGAAGTGAATTCCCATATTAGGAAAACAGAGAAAGCCCAATTAAACAACCTGATGCTGAAACTCAAACTTCTAGAAAAAAAAGAGCACGACAAACCCAAAGCTCATGCAAAATAGGAAATTATAAACATCAGAGCAGAAATGAATTCAATGGGGACTAAGAGAACAGTACAAAAAAATTAATGAAGCCAAGAGTTGGTTCTTTGAAAGAATAAACAAAATTGACAAACCCTTAGCAAACCTTATCAGAGAAAGGAAAGAAAAGGTCCAAATCCATGCAATTAGGAATGAAAAGGGTGAAATTACAACAGACCCAGCAGAAATCCAGAGGATCATCAATACCTACTTCAAGAACCTATACGCCAATAAGATGGAAAACACTGAAGAAATGGACAGATTCCTAGATACATATGAATTACCAAAGCTGAATGAAGAAGACCTAAAAATTCTTAACAACCCAATATCAACCAATGAAATTGAAAACATAATTAAAAACTTACCAACTAAGAAAAGCCCAGGTCCTGATGGCTTCACTGCTGAATTCTATAAAACATTTAGAAAGGAACTACTGCCACCATTGTTTAAA